GCAGTTACTATCCTGCACAACAGCTTCGTGGTCCCTTCCATTGATGCAGCGCGCAGACAGCTTGCGACGTTCGTAGACGCGCGAACGACCCAGGATGCACGGCATGTCGCTCGACGGATCGAGCGGCGCCCCAAAACTCGTAGTCGCTCTCAGTGCACGGCTCGCCAAGCACAGTCGAAAAGTCCACCTGGATGGCAATCCACTCATACACGTACTCGTCATAACCATAAACGGAAAACACGACCGAGGTTTCGCCGGGCTCGGTCAGCAGGCCAGCGATGCGAATCTTGTCCTCGAAAAACTGGAATTGTTGCCACGTCCGACCCTCGTTGTACGAGAAGCTAATACGGGATTATCGAAACAAAGTCCGAACAAAAAACACCAGTAAATAAAGGGTGAGCAATGGGAACGGTGCCAGTGGCATTGTTTGTTTTTTTGTTTTTGTTGGTGTTTTGGGAAAGATACGTACGAGAGAATATTCGTGTTAATGTCCCGTTCGATCGCCACAATGAGACCGCCATGATCGGCCGTGGCAAACATGTGCGAGCCGCGCAGCACGTGCTTCCAGTTGGCGCCTGCATCACGACTGACAAACACATCTTGCGGCACCTCGTCGCTGTAGTAATCCAGGTCGGCGCCCACGACGCCGGATGCAACAATCAGGCCAATGGCCGACGCCGACGAGTAAATTGGCGTGGCACGAATGAAAGGCAGGGCAGCGGTCAAATCGCTGTGGAGGTGCAGCGAGCAATTGGCCTGGAGAAAGGGAGAGAAGCGAAAGAAATGAGCTGCAGAGCTGTTGGAAAGAGTCACCCGTGACTTACAGCAATGCATGAAAACGGATCGCCATCGACGTCTTCCGCCGGAGGAGTAATTGCATGCCAGTTGCCGCCCTTGTCGTAGGTAATGACCGAGCGAACCAACGTATCGGTTCCAAACTGTTGACAAAGAGTTGCCGTGAGCCCAATCAGTCAGTACAAACTTCCTGCTCCCTTTTCCCCATCCACACAAAAACTTTGCCTAACCGTGACCAAATGATTGGCAATGTAAACACCCCGCATGCTATTCACGGGAGTGAAATCAATCACTCCACGACTGTTCTTGCTCGGCAGGTAGACAATGTCCTCGAGCGAAGCAACGTAGGAGAGGCCTTGACGGCCAGAAATGTACAAGTCTCGACGATTGGTATCGCCAAAGTAGGACGCGTGGGCGACAAAGACTTGCTGCTCGAACGAGTCCAGAACAAAGACACCTTCGGCCGTGCCAGCCACAGGGAATGTCGCCTTGGTCAATGTGGAGCGATTGAGGGACACGTACAGGTCTTGCGCATCGGTCTACAAACAGAGCAGGAATGATGAGCGCAAAATGAAACAAAAAACAGAGGCACAAAAAACAAAAAAACAAAAAAAAAAACCGCGTTTCGCTGCGTACAATGGCAAACATGTACTCGCCGTCAAGTTGGAAGTACGAAAGTCCAGTCATCAAGGTCTGAAAAGTTGCTCCAAGATCGTTTGAGACGGACAGCTGACCATCTGTCGGAAAGGCAAGCAAGACGGGGGCCAAAAAAAAAAAAAACAAAACAAACAAACCAAAAAATCAATAGTTGCAACTTGCCACGACGCTCGAGAAATATCAGAAACTACAATACATACCACGGGTCTGGGCATAGATGGTACCCTCGGCATCGCCATACGTCACATCGCCAAAGGCAAACTGCTCGACTTGCTTGAGAATCATGGTCCACGAGCCTCCGTTGTTGGTCGAAATCCAGAGATCGCCAAATGCCAGGTTGACGTTTGAGACGCGCGAGTTGATGGCCATCAACGTGTTGGGATCAGAGGGATGGAAGAGGAAGGCGGACGGGTAGAAGGGCGTGTTTCGCGCAGTGTAGCTCGCACCACCATCGATAGTGACGTATGTGACATTCTTTTTCGCGTCCGTAAGATGGAAACGGCTCGTGAAAAAGTTGTCGAAATGCCAGTCGTACACGACGGCGTCAGCAGGCAGGGCAGACGCCATGTTTGTGAACGTGTGTCCATAGTCGTCCGAACGCCAGTACCGGGAGGCAAAACCCGTGCCGGGCAGCAGAGTGTCCATGAAGAGTGCAAGGACGACCTGATGCATGGATGTACAGGTGGTGGTGGTGGTGGTGGGGGAGGGAGCGAGTTGAGTGAGTAAGGCAACAACCATTTCTCCCTTTTTCCCAAGCCAAATGATTTTGGAGTTGTCAACAAAACGTACATCGCTGCCATCTCCAAGCCAGTCAACGTTGGCATACGTGCCGATATCGTGGAACAGAACCTGAGCGGACGACAAGCGTGAAGAAAGGTCAGATCACATACCCCCCACAAAAACGCAACAAGAAACCAACGACTTGCATTTGCTGCGTTCGGGGTATCGCTTGCACGT